CCCTCCCAGCTGAGTTCGTCACCAAGAACGAGCCCCCGATTTACATCACTCTCTAAATTATAGTCACTTGCTCCCTGACTCTCTTTGCGCAGTCAAGGACCACTTTTCGCCCTTGACCCCACCGAGCTAACTATCGACCTGCTTGAGAAGCACCTTGTTGCAGTGAGACTAGTGTACTCGTTGTAGGTGCTACTCGTGGCACTCCTCGCACGCCCTTCTTTGAGGGGTGCTCCCCCTCCCCCCTTGCCCCCTCTGTTGCTTCTGCTGCTGCTGTCGACTTCCTTGGTGCTGAGGAGGTTGGGGCTGCTTCTGATCCTAGTGGGAAGCGCCGCAGCGGCAAGGGCAAGGGAGGCAAGAGTGGTGGGGGTGGCGGCGGGGGGTGGGTGGTGGTGGAGGCGGTGGAGGCGGTGGAGGTGGCGGAGGTGGCAGTGGGAGTGGTGGCGGGAGCGGGGGCGTCGGTGGCGGCGGTGGCGGCAGTGGTGGGGGGGTGTGGTGTGGTCGTGGCGGCAGTGGGAGTGGGGCGGCAGTGGTGGCGGCGGAGGGAGTGGCGGCGGCCGCAGTGGTGGTGTCGGGCTGGAGCTGTTCACCGGCAGCACCAGCAGCGTCAGCGTGAGACCCTCACGCCCCAGCAGCTTCGTGAGTGGTACGCTCAGCGTGGGACGTCAGGGGGTAGTGCTCGCTACCCGTGCGTCATTCGCACAGGTGACCGCGCTGGTTAGACGCGCGGGAAGTTTCACACCCAACATCGCTGCTTCTCCTGCCTAGATAACGCTTGGTGCGCTGAGTATGGCGATGAGGCTGAGATGCCCCGTTGGGAAGAGCTGCTTAGGGCTGGTGTTGATATCTTTGCTCTTGACTATGACACTATTCTTGCTGGCATGTATGCTTTGACTACTAGTGCTGAGGGTGGCTGTTACCTCTGTGTGCCTCCTAACGAAGGTATATAGGCTGCTGCTCTAGGTGCTAGTGAGTCTGCTCTCTCTGGTACTGCGCCTGCTGAGGCCTTGCACACCTTCATGCTTGACTCAGGTGCTTCCCGCTGTTTCTTTCGCGACAGCACCACAGTCACACCACTCACTAGGCCCGTTGTAGTTTCCCTGGCTGACCCCTCTGGGGGCCCGGTTCTTGCACGTTCCTCCACTGTTCTCCCGTGCCCGGTGGTTCCGTCCGGCTCACTGTCAGGTCTCCACCTCCCCTCGTTCTCGACAAACTTGGTGAGCAACGCAGTCCTTCAAAATGCATGGGTTCATACCTTTACCCGTGGAGGCCAGCGTGTGGCAATTTGTACGTGCTCCCGGCCTGGCCGTCACCTGGCCACGTTCACCCGTCGGCCTGGGTCGAGTCTGTACACACTGACTACTGCGCCCCCTTAGGTTGCTGCGTCTGTTCAGGTGTTCGCGCCAGGTCAGGTAGCAGCCCCCTGCTCGTGTCAACTCCTGTCGCACCAAACTCTCCTTTGGCACCACCGCCTGGGTCACCCCTCCCTGCCACGCCTTCGTGGCATGCACTCCCGCCTCCTTGTCTGTGATCTTCCCAGGTCTCTGCCTTCCCTCCCACCCTCGTCTGCTCTGCCCTGCGTTCCTTGCGTCAAGGGGCGGCAGCGCGCCGCTCCTCACTCCTCCTCGTTTCCCCCGACGACTGCTCCTCTGCAGACTCTCCACATGGACGTGTGGGGCCCAGCCCGCGTCCAGGGACAGGGCCGCGAGCGCTACTTTCTGCTGGTTGTTGATGACTACTCGCGTTACACCACGGTCTTCCCCTTGCGCAACAAGGGTGAGGTCCCTGATGTCTTGATCCCTTGGATCCGCGCTGTCCGTCTCCAGCTCCGCGAGCGGTTCCGCACGGACCTTCCCGTCCTGCGTCTGCGTTCCGGGTCTGGGGCTCTCGTGCCTTTGTCCGCGATACCTCCGCGGACAAGCTCTCCTCTTGCGCCATTCCCTGCGTCTTCCTTGGCTTTCCCACTGACGCGCTTGCCTGGCAATTTTACCACCCCACCTCGCGCCGTGTTCTGTCCTCTCAGGACGTCACGTTTGACGAGTCGGTTCCCTTCTACCGTCTCTTCCCCTACCGTACTGCTCATCTCCCCCCCCCCCCCGCTCTTCCTCGCTCCAGGTCCTCCTCCGGTAGACCCCCTCCCCCCAGGGCCCTGCTCCTTCAGGTGTGTCTCAGGTAGACCCACTTCCCTTGGCTGAGCCTGACGAAGTCTCAGGTGACTCAGGTGCTGCTGGGGGTGGTACTGTTCGGGGTACTGCGTCTGGGGGTGTTGAGCCTGACGGTGCGGAGCCTGGGGGTGCTGAACCTGAGCGTGCGGAGCCTGGGGGTGCTGAGCCTGTGCGTGCGGAGCCTGAGTGTGCTGAGAATGGGGGTGCTGCGTCAAGGGGTGCTGAGCCTGCGGGTGCTGAGCCTGGGGGTGCTGCGTCTGCTAGTCGTCCTCCGGGTGCCTCGCCACTGCGGTTTAGAAAGCGAGAGCCTCTCTCGCCATAGCAGCTGCGGGAGTGGTTCGCTCAGCGCACTCGCCTTCGGAGTTGCGCTACTGGAGCTGGAGGCGCTTGCACTGGAGACGCTGGAGCTGGAACTGGAGGTGCTGGAGCTGGAGGAACTGACGATGGGGGCGCTGGAGCTGGAGGTGCTGGAGCTGGAGGCCCTGACGATGGAGGCGCTGGCGCGGGAGGCGCTGGAGCTGGAGGTGCTAGAGCTAGAGGCACTGGCGCTGGAGGCGCTTGAGCTGGAGGCGCTAGAGCTGGAGGCGCTGGAGCTGGAGGCGCTGGAGCTGGAGGCACTGGCGCTGGAGACGCTCGAGCCGGAGGCACTGGAGCTGGACACACTGGCACTGGAGGCGTTGGAGCTGGAGGTTCTGGAGCTAGAGATACTGGAGCTGGAGGCCCTGTGCAGCAGCGACCGTTTTTCTTGCCGCCGCCGCAGCTGTCCTCACTACCACCTACCGCCCGAGTCGGTGCTCTGTCAGGTTCTTAGTCTTCCTTCGTCCACTGCCCTTCCTCCAGACTCACCGCTGCCTGCCCCACCTCGTTACACTGAGCAGCCAGTCTCCCTTTCAGAGTGTCGTGAGCCTGCGTCTCGTCCTGCCTCCCCTGTTTGCACTGTTCGCCGTGCTCGTCGTGTCCCTCGTCCGCGTCCTCCTCCTGTGCCAGGTACTCACACTATGGCACTTCGTCCTTCCTCTGCTCCACAGCGCGTCCCTCTGCCGTCTCCTCCTGCGTCCTCTCTTCATGACGTTCTAGACTCTGAGTCTGACCATGTTTTTGCTGCTAGTCCCACTGTCACGCGTCTCCTCGCCACAGTCAACACTAGCCTGACGTTTGAGTCTACTACTACGTCTGCCTTAGTTGCTGAGCTTGTGGACTTTGCTGCTGCGTGTCGTCTAGACTACGCCGCTAGTCTTGTTGCTGAGTCTGAGTCTGTCTGTCCTCCGTCCGTCGGGGGTGAGTGTGCTATTGGCACGGACGTCCTTGAGGATAGGCAGGAGGACTTTGAGTGTCTTGCAGCTGCTGTACCTCATCTTGTGGCCTGGCTGCTTGCACTTGAGGGAGACCCGGATGCACTGGACATCCCGACCCCGCGCTCTTACGCAGAGGCGATTTTGGGTCCCTACTCCTCTCAGTGGCAGACTGCCATGGACGCAGAGATGGCATCCTGGAAGTCCACATGCACTTACGTCGACGCAGTTCCCCCTCCTGGGGCGAACATAGTCGATGGCATGTGGATTTTCACGGTGAAGCGGCCGCCGGGTTCTCCGCCTGTCTTCAAGGCTTGTTACGTTGCTCGAGGCTTCAGTCAGCGTCAGGGAGTTGACTACTTCCAGACCTTCTCCCCTACCCCGAAGATGACCACTTCCAAGGTGCTGCTGCACGTTGCCGCTCAGCGTGACTACGAGCTTCACTCTCTTGAATTCAGCACAGCTTTCTTACAGGGCAACCTGCACGAGGAGATCTGGCTGCGCCGCCCACTTGGCTTCACTGGGTCGTTTCCTGAGGGTATCCAATGGAGCCTCAGGCGGCCAGTCTACGGTCTCCGCCAGGCACCTCGTGAGTGGCACGACACACTGAGGATGACGCTTGCGGCTCTCGGGTTTGCTCCTTCGACTGCTGACTCGTCGCTGTTTCTGCGCACCGACACTTCGCTGTCGCCGTTCTACATCATCGTGTACGTCGACGACTTGGTCTTTGCCACTGCTGACACTGAGGCATTGGCCCGTGTGAAGTCGGAGCTGCAAAAGAGACACACGTGCACAGACTTGGGCGAGCTGCGCAGCTATCTTGGCTTTCAGATGACTCGGGACAGAGCACGCCACACATGGTGCAGCAAGTCCTTCAGCGCTTCGGCTTCGAGTTCTCCTCACCACAGTCCACTCCTCTGCCTACCGGTCACTCCCTCTGAGCTCCACCTTCAAACGAGTCCGTAGAGCCGAGTGGCCCGTATCCAGAGCTTGTGGGCTACCTCATGTACCTGATGACCTGCACGCGACCTGACCTTGCATACCCTCTTAGCATCATGGCTCGCTACGTTGCGCCTGGGAGGCACCGACGAGAGCACTGGAGGCTGCTAAGAGGGTGCTACGCTACTTGTGTAGTACATCAGGCATGGGGCTGGTGCTTGGAGGACTGGGTCGAGTTGTCCTCACGGGACACTCAGACGCCTCTTGGGTTGACGACCTGGCTACGCAGCGGTCGTCGCAGGGGTACACCTTCAGCCTTGGCTCCGGCTCTGTTTCTTGGCGGTCTACCCGCTCGTCTTCTATTCTCAGCTCCAGTTGTGAGGCTGAGATCTATGCAGGAGCCATGGCTGCACAGGAGTTACGCTGGCTCACCTACCTGCTGACTGACTTGGGAGAGCGGCCTAGTTCTCCTCCAGTTCTATACGTATACAACAAGGCCGCTATCGCCTTGTGTCAAGAGTGTCATAATCTAACAGGAAAGGATGATTGCATTGAACAGAAACAGAGTACAAGTACTAACCCTAATTGGGTTGTACCCCTTATGGGCTACCCCACTATAGCCTGTAGAACATATTTTGACACAGCCCCATAGGCACGGTGGGGGAGAACAAGCGGTCACAAGACCAGTCAAGAGAAACAAAGCAGGCTAAGGGTGGATCACGAAGTCACCACACATTCCGAGCACAAGCAGATGGCCTAAGGCCAGTTCACATGCAGAGTTATATAAAACAAAGCAAGCAGTACAGTGATCACAACCTAGCAAGTGTAAGCATGCAAGGATACATATAGATCACAGTACAAACAAGGTCAAGCATTGAGCAGATGAGAAAACGTAGGCACGAGGCCTAGAGCAGTACAGAGACGCTGATGATCACCAGACGAAAATGCCTTGGTGAATATATCAGCTCTATTGGCCCAACTAGCCACGTAAGCAAGACGAAGCTAGCCACGTTGCTGCAACTCTCAAGCAAGGAAGTAACGCAGAGCGATGTGTTTCGTTTTGTGCTCCAGTCTGTGCTCCTGACACAAGGCAATAGAAGCGTTGTTGTCTACGTACATATTTGGACGAGAACTAGGCCGCTCTCCCAAGTCAGTCAGCAGGTAGGTGAGCCAGCGTAACTCCTGTGCAGCCATGGCCCCCGCGTAGATCTCAGCCTTACAACTGGAGCTGAGAACAGAAGACGAGTGGGTAGACCGCCAAGAAACAGAGCCGGAACCAAGGCTGAAGGTGTAACCCTGTCACGACCGCTGCGTAGCCAGGTCGTCAACCCAAGAGGCGTCTGAGTGTCCAGTGAGGACAACTCGACCCCGTCCTCCAAGCACCAGCCCCATGCCCGATGTACTGCACAAGTAACGCAGCACCCTCTTAGTAGCCTCCCAGTGCTCTCGCCGGTGTCTCCCAGGCGCAACGTAGCGAGCCAGGATGCTAAGAGGGTACGCAAGGTCAGGTCGCGTGCAGGTCATCAGGTACATGAGGTAGCCCACAAGCTCTGAATACGGGCCACTCGGCTCTACGGACTCGTCCGAAGGTGGAGCTGAGAGCGTGTGACCGGTAGGCAGAGGAGTGGACAGTGGTGAGGAGAACTGGAAGCCGAAGCGCTGAAGGACCTGCTGCACCATGTGTGACTGAGTCAGGGTGATCTGCAAGCCAAGGTAGCTGCGCAGCTCACCCAGGTCTGTGCACGTGCGTCTCTTCTACAGCTCCGACTTCACAAGGGCCAGTGCCTCAGTGTCAGCAGTGGCAAAAACCAAGTCGTCAACGTACACGAGGATGTAGAACGGCGGTAGTGAAGTGTCGGTGCGTATAAACAACGACGGGTCAGCGGTAGAAGGAGCAAACCCAAGAGGCGCAAGAGTCATCCTCAGTGTGTCGTGCCACTCACGAGGCGCCTGGCGGAGACCGTAGACTGGCCGCCTGAGGCTCCACTGGATATCCTCAGGAAACGATCCAGTGAAGCTAGGTGGGTGGCGCAGCCAGATCTCCTCATGCAGGCTGCCCTGTAAGAACGCTGTGCTGAAGTCAAGAGAGTGAAGCTTGTAGTCACGCTGAGCGGCAACGTGCAGCAGCACCCGAAGAGTGGTCATCTTCGGGGTAGGGGAGAAGGTCTGGAAAAAGTCAACTCCCTGTCGCTGACTGAAGCCTCGTGCAACGTAACGAGCCTTGAAGACAGGCGGAGAACCCGGCAGCCGCTTCACCGTGAAAATCCACATGCCATCGACAATGTTCGCCCCAGGAGGGGGAACCTCGTCGACGTAGGTGCCTGTGGACTTCCAGGATGCCATCTCTGCGTCCATGGCTGTCTGCCACTGAGAGGAGTAGGGACCCGTGATCGCCTCTGCGTAAGAGCGCGGGGTCGGGATGTCTAGTGCATCCGGGTCTCCCTCAGGTGCAAGCAGCCAGGCCACGAGATGAGGTACAGCAACCGCAAGACACTCAAAGTCCTCCTGCCTGTCCTTAAGGACGTCCGTGCCAAGAGCACACTCACCCCCGACGGACGGAGGTCAGACAGACTCAGACTCAGCAACAAGACTGGCGGCGTAGTCTAGACGACACACAGCAGCAAAGTCCACAAGCTCAGCAACTAAGGCAGACGCAGCAGCAGACTCAAACGACGGGTTGTCAAACTATATATGTTATACTTGTGTAGGCTGTAGTGGGGTAGCCAATATGGGGTACAACCCCTCTAGGGTTTGTTACTTGTACCCAACCTTCTTTCAATGCATTCATTCTTGCCTAGACTTTCTAACATGGTTTCAGAGCGGTTCGTCCGTTAGGACCGGATTTTTTTTTTTGGCCCACCGAACGCATGCCTGCCTGCGGTTACTACTGCGCTGCCCCACACGCGCCCTGCCTTGCCTGCCCGTCGCGTTGCCCTAAGGGCGCGTTCGAGTTCGAAAATAAGTTCGAACTTTGTGTGGTTACGGTTTTCGCAAATCTCGCTCATGACATCAGACGAACATCGCGAATTTTAGGGCTTATAAAAGTTCGAACGTGAAAAGCAAACTTGACTCGAGTCGAATAGATGAACGTGCTTGTACACGTTGAAGCGAGCGTGTGTGTTTCGGCACACACGAAGACCATGCGAAATTGACGAGTACACTGCGAAACAAAAAACAGTAGTATGTTGACTTGGCGAGCATGTACCGGGTAACTTAAAGTTTCGAATTTTGGTGTTCGACCTTGCGTGCGTGATTACATCTTTGCAGTGTTATTCCCGCAATGTTCGAACCTCGCTACAAGGAAAGTCGAATTCCATTCGACTTAAGTTCAAAAAAAATATTCGCCCCCAAAACATAAACTTTTTCAAATTTGACGGAACGAACGCGCCCTAAGGCCCGCGCCTGCCCAGTGCCTGCCCGTCGCGTCGCCCTAAGCCCGCGCCTGGCTCCCTGCCTGCCCGTCGCGTCACCCTAAGCCTGCGCCCGGCCCCCTGCCTGCCCGTCGCATTGCCCTAAGCCCGCGCCCGGCCCTCTGCCTGCCCGTCGCGTCGCCCTAAGCCCGCGCCCGGCCCCCTGCCTGCCCGTCGCGTCGCCCTAAGCCCGCGCCCGGCCCCCTGCCTGCCCGTCGCGTCGCCCTAAGCCCGCGCCCGGCCCCCTGCCTGCCCGTCGCGTCGCCCTAAGCCCGCGCCCGGCCCCCTGCCTGCCCGTCGCGTTGCCCCAAGCCCGCGCCTGGCCCTCTGCCTGCCCGTCGCGTCGCCCTAAGCCCGCGCCCGGCCCCCTGCCTGCCCGTCGCGTCACCCTCACGCCCGCGCCCGGCCACCTGCCTGCCCGTCACGGTGCCCTTAAGCCCGCGCGACCCCGCCCTACCGCCGCAGCGGCTCCGCCGGGTAGCGGCCCTGCCCTGCTGCCGACGCGGCCCCGCGCGGCACCGCCCTACCGCCGACGCGGCCCCGCCGGTCTTCCCCTTGCAGCGCAAGGGGGAGGTCCCTGATGTTTTGATCCCTTGGATCCGCGCTGCCCGTCTCCAGCTCCGCGAGCGGTTCAGGACGGAGTTTCCCGTCCTGCGTCTGCACTCTGACAGAGGTGGTGAGTTCTCCTCAGACCTCTTGGCAGCCTTCTGTGCGGAGCACGGCATCCGTCAGACGTTCACGCTTCCGGCCTCTCCGCAGAAGAATGGGGTTGCTGAGCGCCGCATTGGCTTAGTCATGGAGGTCGCTCGTACCTCCATGATCCATGCGGCTGCCCCCCATTTTCTGTGGCCATTTGCGGTCCGGTACGCTGCGCATTAGCTCAACCTCTGGCCCCGTGTCTCCTTACCGGAGACCTCGCCCACGCTGCTGTGGACGGGGAAGGTTGGCGATGCGTCACGTTTCCGGGTCTGAGGTGCTCGTGCCTTTGTCCGCGATACCACCGCGGACAAGCTCTCCGCCCGCGCTGTTCCCTGTGTCTTCCTTGGTTTTGTCCCTGACGCGCCTAGTTGGCAGTTTTACCACCCCACCTCGCGCCGTGTCTTCCCCTCTCAGGACGTCACGTTCGACGAGTCGGTTCCCTTTTACCGTCTCTTCCCCTACCGCACTGCCCCTCTCCCCCCCCCCGCCGCTCTTTCTCGCTCCAGGTGCTCCCCAGGTAGACCCCCTCCCCGCTCCCGGTCCTGCTCCTTCAGGTGTGTCTCAGGTTGACCCTCCTCCCTTGACTGCGCCGGTTGAGGTCACTGGTGACTCAGGTCCTGCTGCGGGTGGTCCTGCTCGGGGTACTACTTCTGGGGGTGCTGAGCCTGGGGGTGCTGAGCTTGGGGGTGCGGAGCCTGGGGGTGCTGAGCCTGGGGGTGCGGAGCCTGAGTGTGCCGAGCCTGGAGGTGCTGAGCCTGAGTGTGAGGAGTCTGGGGGTGCTGAGCTTGGGGGTACTGAGTCTGGGGGTGCTGCACCTGGGGGCGCTGAGGCGTCTGGTGAGCAGTCTCCCTGGAGCGGCCGTCTCCGTAGTCGCTCCGCTGGTGCCTCGCCGCTGCACTCTCGTCGTCTACTCCCTCT